TGGATGGGTGCTTTTTGAAAGGTTATTATGTTGGACAAATTTTTGCAGCCATTGGGATGGATCCTAATGAACAGATGTTGCCAATCACATTTATTGTAGTTGAGGGAGAAACCAAAGATTCATGGAATTGGTTTTTGGATCTATTGAAAACTGATTTGGGAGGTTACCATATTGTCATGCAATTTCATGTATGAAGGATCAGCATTTACAAGTGGGTGATTTTGTGCCTGATTATTACAAAAAGGAGTGGTATGAGGCTTGCTGTGCACCAGTGATTTATCCAGTTAATAGAGAATCTCTTTAGACAAAAACAGATGATGTTGACGTGCAACCACCCCCCATAAAAGGATGCCTGGTAGACCCAAGAAAAAAAGGAACAAGGAGGCTAGGGAACAAGTGAGAAGTGAGACACAACTCAAATGGAAAAAAAATTGGTATCAAATGCAGTAGGTTCCATAAGAATTGTCACAACAAGGCCACTTGTAAGCTGCCTACAACTGTTGAGACTTCAACTTAGGAAACCCTAAGCCAACCACAACTAGCTGCTACCTCAAGCCAACCACAACCAGCTGCTACCGCAGGCCAACCACAACCAGATGAAGCTTCAACTCAGCAACCACCCAAAAAGAAAAGGAAACTTCAAAAGGTTCTAAAACCAGTTATGAGCCAACCCTAATCTTTATATTGATCTTTAATGTGTACTGATTATGCCACTTTTGGCCTATTTTGTAGTTTATGACTAAGGCTTATAATGCCACTTTTGTTGGATTTCTGCAGCTGTAACAGATGGCATACAATGTCTATTTTCTAGTTTATGACTTGTGGCTTGCAATGCTACTTTTGTTGTGACTTGTAATGTAACTATCGTTATGACCTATAATGTTACTTTTGGTATGACCTTTAATACAACTTTTGTTATAGTTCTGTTACTATTATTATGACCAAATTATGGTGTGCATTTATTCTGACATATTATGGGAAACATCAGTAATGATAAGGAATGTTATGCTTATGTTACACCAAATTAAAAGTGCATTTGTTCTGGTATATTATGGGAAACAAAAGTAATATTTCTCCAAATACATTTTATTGATAAATGTTGACAAATACATAACAATATTGACAAACACATTTCATGACAGATACATTTCAACCTCTTTGTTCACAAATACATTTCACTGATAAATATTGACACATACATCTCATTACACAGACAAATAACCAACCTAAAAAAATATTGTTGCAAATACAACATTAAACACTAAGCTCAATATTCCAATCACTACGGACACTTTCAATCATTCCCTAGTGTTAATGATCTCATTCTTCAATTTTTAAATTTTCTTCTTTTGTCTCTGGATCTTCAAATTCCTTTCATCAATAATGTCGTTGTCGAACCATTTGAAGAAATTACAATCCTTTTTCACATGATTTTTGAAATGTCTACAATCCCAAAACTTTTTTTCCAAAATTGACATTATTCATGTCATCCATAGTACGAAGCACACATTCATCTTGGCAATAACACTCTCTCCTCTTGTTTCTGCGAATAACCGGCCCAGTTGTTCCAATGGAAGAACTGCTTGACAACTTAGACATTGGAGAATATTCAAAGCCTAGGAATAAAGACAATATGAAAAGAAGAGAAATCGAAGAAACCTTTTTCTGCAATGTCAGATAACAAGAACGAAGAGATTGAGAAAGCAATCAAACACACCAATACAAAGAATGCGTGCATATACGCACGAGCAATTTTCTGAAAAATATGAAGCTCTTTGACAACATTCAACCCATTAAACAATGATTTATTCATTCTTTTGATGAGTCATCACACACTTGACACGCCACGTTGGCAGTTACTAACATTTTAATATCAGAACTAACGGAAGGGATCTAATACGCTAACGGAAGTAATATTACGGGACCAAACTGAAACGATTTTTTATTGAGGAAGTAAATCGCAACTCATGATTAACTTAGGGCATCTTTAGTGCAGGTTCTGTAGTATTAAATTCTTTAATAGTAACGGTAGTTATAAGCCATTTGCATTGGAATAAGAATGACATGGCAGTAAGTGAACTAACAATTAGTGGGAGTAAACTATATAACCAACGCACACTATCCATTCTCAATGACTCTTATTATTATTTTATTATTGTTTTATATTATTAAAATATCAATAAAGTTCCAACAACTATAAAATATGGGGTCAGTTTTTGTTTTTTACAAGCAATCATCATTAAAGTAAAAACAACTCAAATCAACTGTAAATATTTTAAATCCTACAAATCACTTTGAGTCCACAAAAAGTATCTTAGTTTTAAAGATGTTCTTACTGGACTTGGAACTAATTATGCCTAAATAATACTATCTCTATTTTTTTATTATAAGTTGCTTTGAGAAAATATTTTATACCACAATATAAGTCGATTTATAATACCAATGAATAATTAATGTTATTTTTCCAATTATACCTTTAAATATGTATTATTCTCTCTTCTTTTAATTATGTAAGTTTGTCTTTCCAATACCATTAATGAAAGACAATTTTGTTATATCCTTCCGAATTTTTCTTTTTCTTACCGCAATTATTATATTTTTTAATATGTCTGAAAAGTTTACAATGACTTATAATAAAAAAATGGAGGGAGTAACCATTAATCTATTAAATTTCTAATAAAATATTAATAAAAAAAATATTCTAGAAATTATTTAAATTAAAAATATTTTTTAATACTAAAATTAAATATTATGAAATAAAATATTCACTAAATAAAACGTGGACGTACAGCAGCACATGTGCCATAACATTTATGAAATGGTCAAATAGAGTGAGATCATGAAAATCTCAAGAGAAATAAATTTTAAGAAATAAAAAGCTGGTTTTTAAAATGAGATGACTAAATTTTAAAAAATTTTAAAATAGGGATTATTATGCATGGCATAATTGGTTCACATTAATTGGCAACTTTCTAATAATAACAACATTGTAATTTTTATGAAATATTCGACCTAATAGATACACTAGACTTTCACAAAATAACAAATAATTTAAGATGATTTTTTACTGCAACTGAGATGTTTTTTAGATACCACGCAAAATTTTAAAAATATCTTTAATTTTTTAAAATATATCTCTAAATATATTCCTAAAACACACATTTCATTCGTTTTTGAATTAAACTCTATGAATAAATTTATTTCAGAAATATATTTCAGAAAATTTCTAAAAATATATTTCCCAAAAAAACAATTTTAACCTTTTACAAGACTACCTGCACTTGCATCCAGTGTTTTAAAAACCGGACCGGTCATCGAACCGGTGAGGATACTGGATCACTGGTTTATCGGTTGAACCATTGGGTCACTGGTCGAACCGCATGACTAAACCGGATTAAATCGGATAACTCGGTTGAATAGACCTGTCATTATATAGATATAAAACCGGTCGAACCGAATGATTCAGTTTCTAAAAAAATATAACTAGTACTTAAATTTTTTGAAAATATTATATCATAAATTCACAAGTTCATAATTTAAATTTAAATTTTAAAAAAAAGTATCACACATAACAAAATAATACAAAATTATAAAATAATTACAGTATAATCTAATTTTAAACAATTTTTTTTAATAACTTTTGCATTTAAATTTTAATTAAAAAATAAAAAATGCATTAGAACCGGTTCAGCCCTAAACCCAGTTTTTCTTGGTTTAACCCGATTTTTTTTCGGTTTTTTCCGATTTGATGACACAGACGATCGAACTAGTAAACCAGACCGATTACTAGACCGGTTCCTGGTCCAACCGGTCCGATCCGGTTTTTAAAACACTGCTTGCATCACTACCTGAACATTCCCTATTGTCAAAACAATCTTATTCCCTCAAATGCTATGTAAAACAATCTTATTCCCTCAAATGCTACAAGCCGAATGTAAAAAAAGTATAACACAAATAAAAATAACACTTGATGGTATTGATCCATGGACAACAATCAAGCTTAAGTATCATGAACGGTGCTCATATACAGTAATACCAAACCTAATTAGCAACCTGGCATCTAATTATAACAAGCACCATTTTCTTTTTAAAGTCCTGTTGTTCTATTAAATAGTTTTCGGTAGAAGGTGCTTTAAATTTAAAGAATTTGATGAAGATATAATTTCCTTTATGGGATTTATTTGTGGAGCTGGATATACGTTATATATTATTATCAGATAATCAGTAAAAAAAACACAGTTGTATATTAATAGTATATTAATATTATCATAGAAGTTATAGTAGAAATAGTATGCAAGTGCAGGCAGTCTTGTAAACAGTTAAAAAAATAAATTCTAAAACTAAATTTTTATAAATTTTCGAGATATAATTCTGAAATAAATTTATTAATAAATTTAAAGCTTACCTCAAAAACGAACAAAATCTGTATATTCAGAGATATATTTCTAAAAATTAAATGAATAAATTACAAAATTGTCTAACTTAATTCCAGTTTATTGAACAAATGTTTATCAATATAAACACTTAGAATAAGTTTACATAAACTATAATTATTTCTATAACAAATGATAAAACAATGTTAAATTGATTTTGTACATGCTAATAAGCTCTTTTTAGGAGTTTTTAACTCCTAAAGAAACTCGTGAAAATAAGTTGAAAAAAGCACATAAAAAGTGTCAAAAACAGTTTTCATAAATTCTCCCAAATCGTCTCACAACTTATATCAGTAGCTAAGCTCCGATAATCTATAATCCAAACAAATTATAAACGGGGCAGGGCGGGAAACATGTATTTTCATGTGATCAAAAATCTTTGACGAACATGTGAAAACTACATACTTTCGGATTGTGTTTGGAAATTAAATACTATAAGCTCAGAAACGTATTTTTCAATCAAACAAAAATCTTATAGCGCATTCGAAAACTTAACGTAATGCTTCCGAAGACAATGTCAGTGCTGATGCTGATGCTGAACCTACATCTCCGAAAACATTGTCAATATTAATGTTTAACGTTCATCTCCTTGGCCATAGACGGTAGCCACCTCTCTCCCCTAATCTTTTTCAATTTCTCAACTCTTTCCTCCTCTCTCTTGGCTGCAGCTTTCGCTGCAGCTTCTTTAGCTTCTAGTCTAGCCAATGACTTCTTGTGTGCATTATTTGCTGCAGCAATTAAATCTTTCCCATCTACAACAATAGACTGAATCCTTCTTCTAAACTGTTGAGTCAGCAAATTGTCATGAAGAAAGTAGAAAATAAATACAATAATGAAACAAAAATGTAGAAACCCCTATCTATGGATTAACTAGTAGACCTTTTTCGATTTCTCATCAATATCTTCTCCCGGAACTATTTTAGGCCGTTTCCTTGGCGGTTGAGGTTCATCTGCAGCCATGTGGATGTTGGCGTAAGCCGCGTATGCAAATGTGATTCAGTAATATAACAAGAAAAATTACAAAGTTGATAATGTCTCAACCCCTCACAATATGTTAATTAACTTTAAAGTAAAACAATATTTTGAATTTCCATCGAACATATAATGTAACATGAGTGAATGTGAAAAATAAAAATCGGTCTGGCAATTCGGGCTGGACGCCAAATGAAACCATTAACATCTGAAAACCAGAGTAGTCAAAATCCCAAATAGCGGTTCAGAACAGCCAACCGCAAAAATGGGATAACTAGATGGTGTATAGCGGGATGACCACTTTTTGATTACTGACTTTTTAGACAAGTGACATGAATAATAATTATAAACATATATTTAATGTAAAATTACAAAAAAAAAAAACCATAAAATATTCACAAATCATACTAAAAGAACAACCAAAACCAACAAGTCTTAATCAAAACTCTTCGGGTTAGGGTTGAGTTTCAACTCAAATTTGATGGAAAACTCCAAAATTACCCTTAAAACATTTTAAATTTATAGGGTAGTTTCGGTTTTTCAGAGGGGAAAAGAATAGCGGGACAAAAACCGCTCTGGACCAAGAACCACTCCACATCCGTTATTTACCCTATAGTGGCCGGCCTCATTCTGCTCTGCTATAGCGGGATAGCATGCTATTGACTACTCTGCTAAAAACATATTACGACAAGTAAACCACTTGTTTACTTCTTAACACCAGCGGCTTTTTTAATAGACATGAGCTAGTATGACAGCAAACCTCCTTTCATTCCACTAGAAAAGATTTTGAAGACAATTTTCATGTATGGTTGCTTAAAACCAATATCAATTGTCTCTAATAAAATGACATTTACTGTTTTGCATTCAAGTCAAGAAGATTTTAAACTAAATTTTACTTCAAACTCACTTTGAAGAAAAAAAAGTTTTTCGGCATAGGTTGTTTAACTTTTCATTTTTAATCAAAATCAAGATCATCCCAAACCAATGTTACAAAAAAAAACTAGTCCATGTAATAACCTGGACCAGTCCATTACCCAGGACAAACAAGTTGGGCAATCAGCAGTGTTGTGCGGTACCAGAAAAAAGAGCAATAAGTTATAGCATATGTCCCCAGAGCATGCTTCTCTGCAGTGACTTAAGCACAATGATAACCTCTCAGAGTGGTTAACAAAGTAGTCAATAGATTAATAAATTGCAGTACCACAATGCAACATAAGTACCAGCTTCTGAATTCTGATGGCAACGAACAGCCAACAATCAAACAAAAGATTCCATAGTTCAATAAGAGATGCATGGCATGCTAAACTGGGCTCCACTTCTTACCAACAGGCAAAGGGTGTGTAAGAGTAAACACTATTCTAGAAGAAGAAGAAGAAAAGGCACTGTTGCTTTTGCTAACAGCACCATCAGTGGCTTTTGTACAACACAGCTTTTTTCTTATTGCAGAAAATAATTTATATGAATGTCAATAAAAATGGTGACTGGTTACCTACTATCAGCAACACTACAAAAAGCTAACTTAATAAAGAAAAAATAAGAACTAGCAAAGTTCAAACTATTCAAAATCTAACTGTAAATTTCGTTTAGCTTTTACATTAAAATTTACTTTTCAACTCAATTTTGCATTAAATTATCCAAACATAAATCACTTTACAATCCACTCACTTTCAACCAGAATAGTTCACTCAAAATCAATTTTTTTTCACAGCAGAACCAAATATACCGTAAAACAACCCAACCTATTTATAGGTATATTATCATAGAATTGCAGCTATTGTTTACAAGTCAATTATGCACAAAACTCAGTTACCTGCATGATCAAGAATAATTCCTGGTTTAGAATGTTTAAACAATCGAATGCCGCAATCATTGATAGTAGGATCCTCATCTTGGTGAAGGACAGGAGCTTTAACTATCTCTATAGTATTTTCCAACATTTCATCCAAGAGCTTTTGTGCCTGTCAAGAAACATCTATACCATAAATCACCAAACCGAAACACCACAAAAAACTATAGAATGCTGAATTTGGAACAGATAAAAAAATCGCAAACCTAATCATAATTCGAGTAACAGAAAAATGTGAATCATGATTAAAAACTTAGAATTTTATTGGTATAAAAATGAGGAATTTAGAAGGGGACCTTTAGTTGGTAATGCTTTAACTTTGGGGTTTTAGGGTTTTGGTCACTATGCTTCTTGGGGTCACTGTTGTTGGTGGCGGAAGCTCCATTCATGAAGGAAGTGACATAGGAGGAAGTTCCGGCAACGGAATCGATGGCGGCTCTCCATGCTGCGTCACCGTCTTCTTCGCCACTGCTGCTGCAGTAGCCATTGATGGGTTCCCCTTCTGCCATTTTTTCAGAACAGCATTGCTTCGTTGAGCAAAGATAGATTGAGAAAGTTGGGCTTTTATTTGGGCCGTGTTTCATGTTAGGCCCAGTTCGCAAAACAATATGTTTTCTTCATTTTTTTGTTAAACTTTTTTTTTTCATAGGATTTCTTTTTCCACCCCATGCATTTCTTTGGCACCGTATGGATTTTTCATTATACTTTTAATTTTCGGAGATATATCTTTGCAGCCCCAACAAAGGTATGTACGAGTGACGTCCTTTATATTTGGTTTGATTAGTTCCGGAGATGCATCTCCAGAACAGTTCTGTAGTTATATTTTCAAACAAAAATCAGATACAGATTGAACATAAAATGAACTTTCCAAACATAAAATAAGCATTCATTCATAACATAAAATGAGCATTACAATGATAATTTCAACAGAAAATTAAATACTACATTTCAATATCCCGGTGGACGCTTTCACATCTCCAGGATATCTTCAATCGATCTTCATAGCGTTGCTTCCAACTCGAGCTGAACTTTCTCTTCAAAACCGAAATACATAATCCACATAGCCCTAATATCGGGTCGAGTCTTGAGCTCAAATTTTTTGAACACAATGTTCCCTTCGTTGTCAACCGAGTGTGAGCGGTACTCAAGCTTGACAATCCTTCGTGTGTCTCCGTAAGGTAGGAGATAGTGAATTTCGTCTAGGATATCTTCGATGTGGTGAGATCGGTGAGCTTAAACGTCCTCCTGAATGTTTTTCCGTTGGAGTAAGAGACATTTGCGACATACCAACGGATGTCTATTTATGACATTTGAGACATTTTTTAGTTTATGTGAAATGTAACAGAAGAAACCCTAAATTTATAGAAGACCTAGTTCAATATGTACCACACATTGTCTATTATATTGATTCTGGATATATATATATATATATATATATATATATATATATATATATATATATATATATATATATATATATATATATATATATATATATATATATATATATATATAAGCGCACCCTATTATCATTTTTCGGGTATATATCGTCTTGTTAGTGAGGTATTGAATGTTATACACTTGCTTGATATTTGATATATTGTCGGTTTGCTTTCGTTTCAATGTTGCAAGTATATTTTTCAGTTGAACAAGATTCAAGGTCATGTAACTAATACATTTCTTCTCTTCCGGCTTTAGCCAACATACACTAGGATGACCAGCTAATTTTAAGCACAATTCATGGTTATGCAAACCATAAATAACATTAAATCTCCATTTTTTGTTAGTCAACACGTAACCACAAAGCTTAAACGGACACTCACATTTTCTATTACCCGTGTCGTCTTTCTTTAAATCCCAGACAAAAGTTCAATAGCTCCTGCTTCTTTCGCACAACATAGTCACAAATGCGCTTCTTCTATCAGAGTCATTATCCGACCTTCTGATTACTACACCAAATCCAAGTCTAGATGACTCCATACGAATTCATTCGAGCATGTTATCACGATTTTCAAACTTTTTCTTTTTATTAAAGTCGTTGCCAACATCTATTGCCTTAACAACAACCCCTTGAGCATTTGAAGAAACATCGCTCAGAGAAACTACTTGATTTGGGAAAATATCTGGGTGCATCATATTTATTGAAAACAATATAAACAATAATAAAACATTAATTAGTCTAATACTGCAGAAGGGATTGGAATATGAACACATAAACATTTTAGAGATGTAACTCCGGAAAAGTTCATATACATACGTTCCGGAGATACATCTCCGGACACTGCGTAGGCTTTTTCACCAAACTTTCATGATTAATGTGTACAATATAGATGGAAATGAATAATTTTTACCTGAAATTCGATCTTCTATTCCTCCACGTGATATGTTGAACTAAAAAGATGGAGATTTTGAGTGAGAAATGGGATTGAGAATGTAGGATTTTTAGGGTGAGAGTTTGAGTTAAAAATGAAGAATGATAATAATGGGGGACTGGTCATGCAACTAGAAACTATATCAGATATTTCCGGAGATACATCTCCGAAAAAATATGACATGCAAAGGTGACAAAAAAATTCAAATTGTCACCACCTAGACCTGAAATTCACTGAACTGAACAATTTAAATGTTTTCTTCAAATTTTTTCTGGAGATATATCTTCAAAATACACTTTAGCAAATGCATAGCGCGCCACTCAGAATGACTTTTGTTGGGGTTGCAAATGGTGCGTTCGAAGATATATCTCCGAAAATTTGGGGCATAATGAGAAATCCACATGGTGCCTAAGAAATGCATGGGGTGAAAAAATAAATCCTTTAATTTAAAGGGTTAATACACCTTTTGCCACATTCTATTTGAGGCGAATTCAAAAAAGGACCGATAAAAAAATACATATTTTGTCCTTATCATTTGAAGATACTTCAATTCATCCGGAGACCCCTTGTATTTTGAAATTTTTTTCAAAAAAATAGATACTTCCAAAAGTAATTAATAAAATATCTTAGGCGGGAAAATAAATGTTATCATTAATTAAAAAAAGTATTACATAAACTAATGTTGGCGACCGGGTTGGTCATACCGGCCACCGGTTCCACATCGCCCAGACACCCTAACTTGTTGCGCTCATCCCCCATATTGTTGATTCACGTCTGGTGTTTGAGAAGTTGAAGTCTTAGGAACATTCTCAGATGGTTCCCGAAGGATCTCTTGCATTTCTATTAGGTCATGTGTGTTGAAACTGAGCGTGTGACCCATGCCAAAGTAGTTCGGATGTGATGAAGGGGTCATTGGTGTGAAACCTGGACGGTTGAAGAGGGACATTGGTGTGAACGATTTGTTGGAAAAAGGTTTAAATGGTAGTGGTGTTTGAAAGCCATAAGGTTGTTGAGATGGTTGAGTGGGTAGGTCGGGGTATAATGTCGGAGCGTTTTGGCTATGAAAAGATGTTTGGGCGTTATGGCTATGGTATGATGTTCCGTCGTTATGACTATATCTTGATGTTGTGTTAGGGCCATAGCCATATTGGGATTTTGGGTAGTAGTCAGTGTATGGGAGATGGTATGAAGGATGTTCTTGGTATTGTGGTTGGGAGTTTGACATGTTTAGATGGTGAATGGGTTGGCAACTCTGTTGGGTGGGGGGCTGTGAGTAACATGGCCTTTCTGGTGGATTAGACATTGAAGCGTCTTATGTGTAGGTGGTTGGGCGTAGGTTATATAAATATCTGTCTTCGGAGACAAACCCAGTTGCAACTGATTTGTGCCAAGCCATATAATTAATAGTTGGTATAGATGGTGTTGCCATCACCGGGTCATATAAGACATGGGCGTTGCGGGTCATCCATTTATGACGCTCCGATTTTGCAAAATCCTTCCAGTCGGGAAACTCTCATTGATCATTAACTCTTTTTAGATGCCATTTACTGATGTCAACAGGAGGATCTGGAATGTTTTGATGCATTCCAAATTGTAGTTTGACACGGTAACTGTTTTGCATCTCCACATTTGTGAATCTGATGATCGGGACGCATGCAGTCCAAACAGCAGCATCTTCCTGTCTGACTTCATGTAGGTGTTTCATGTTTAGATATTGACGTCATATGAACTAAAGAATAGAAAAATATTAGATCATTAAATAGTTGATATAAAATACAAATTGATGTAGTTTAGAGGCCTTACATCTGCAGGTGTTAGGTGATCCAATAAATTGCGGTATTGAATGATACAATGTCTAGGGCATCTATTGTAAGTCATACCCTTAGCCGACCATCTAAACCAAAAACATTTCAAACTCAATTAGGTAGAAAGAATAATTATTAAGTGAAATAACCAAAGATTAAGTGATGAACTTACTTTTTTGCATATGGGAAGGAAAAGTCGTTGTGGTTGACGGGCGCTAGGGATGGCAATCTAAACCAACCCCATGCTTGGAGCAAAACGGCGCATCCAGAAAAAGTAGATGTGTTTTTTTATTGCACACTTACATAAAGAGCTATATAAATAAGACAGACAAGCGGAGTCCCAACTATACTCTCTTGTTTTAGTCAGGTCTCTCAATAAGGTAAATACATTATGTGCATAGAAGAACCAATGCCCTCGGGAAATAAAAATAAATCAATTAAAAGCATTAGATAACATCTGGTTTTTATTATTTTCATTTCCTCTGTAGAATCTTCATCTAATATAAAATTGGCGTACCATGATTTTAGGCGCGAAAGTAAGATACATTGGCCTCTCGAGTTCTCATCTAGCAAGTCGGCACCCAAAATTTTCTCACAAATTGAACCATTAAGGTTTGTTTTTCCATTGAGCGCCTTGCCATCAATATGCAAACCGAGTAACATGTACACGTCCTCTAAGGTCACGGTACATTCACCGGTTGGAAAAAAGAAGGTGTGTGTCTCTGGGCGCCATCTCTCTTGCAAAGCTAGTATAAACTTTGCATCAACGAAATAAGACATGATTTTGCTTACATGTCCGAAGTTGGCGATCTCAATATATGGTTGAATTAATTCGTCGGGTGCAACATATTCATGGGCACGACACCGAAACTTAGAGACTTCCTACATAATAGTAAAAAAAATATTAGACTTAAAAATTAGAAGAGTTAAAAAATTATAAGAGTAAAAACAAAATTAACATAATCACTAAAAATTAACATATACAAGAAATAATGAACACTTACATAAGTCGCAATATTTGCGACAGTGCCTCTATGTGTTTCATCCATTGTCAACAATGCCATTACAACTGATTAAATGTGAATCAGATAACTAGTATACTGACACAAATAGACTTAATATTACCTCTCTGCAACAAGTAAGAATCAGATGGTGCATTTTACCCATGCTTGCATCACCCTTTTATAGAGAATTCGTCTGAACATGCAAGCCAGAGGAGTTGATGACTCCATTGAACATTTACAAAGGGGCGCCAATCCAATTGGCGACCCCTGCTAGGGAATCTAGCTCACCAATGTAGTCTGAGCCTTGTTACATGCATGCAAGGGATGT